TGTGCCGGGGGAATCTGCCTGGCGAAGTCTTTTCGACGACGGCGTTTCAGATTTGGGAAGCTGCACTCTGGGCCTTCTTCATCACGAGATCCTGGAAGCACTGATCGATGTGATCTTGGAGAGCCTCTAAACTCTCCTCGTTGTTCTCCAGGGTGTTGGAGATGATTTAGACAAATGTTGTTAGTTATGAGACAATTGATAAGTGTATTTGGTAATACTGAAGCTTAAAGGAATTTGTTCAAATCTAAGCTACCATTCGCTTTAATTTTCCGCCAAAATCTCCGGCGTCTGACGTCAGTTACAACATGAGTCGCTTACCTTGTCCGTCACAAGTGATGATTAAATATTTCTATTCATTTCAATTATTAATGAAATAAGTCTGAAAGATGTTGTTAAAAAAAATTAATAGGAGTATGTGGGGGAGTTTGTGGCATATAAAGCACTAAAATAAAAGTTTACTCATGATTTTCCACACATGAAGCCAGAGTCAAGACATTTCACAAAGTACTGTGTGATAACCATCAAAAAATACTCAAAAACACCTTCGAACATAGAGCAGCTTTTAAGGAAGACGTCTGTGCTTGGTGCTGAACTGGTACAGCATCTGTACAGATGTGAACACTACTGATACTGAAGAAAACAGATTTAGTGCGACTGTTTCAATAAGACAGGTTTCAGTAAGCGAGCACTGCAGTGTAAACACATGCGAAGCTCTGATATTCTGTTTCCTCTACAGTAAAAAGCAGAAAATTACACAGTAAATATATAAAGCAGTCGGACAGAACATCCTTTCCATGTTTTCAAAAACATTTAAACAAAGAAAAAACAAAGATTTAATTTCTGTGTGTCACAGACACTAAATTCAACTGGATTGACATTAAAAGTGGCTCCTGGTGTTTCAGGCTTAGGAAACTAGGTGGCAGCAGCACAACATATCCAAAGGAATTTCTGTGCTCGTCAACATGCTCCGAGTTTCAGGCAGGGGCCCACACTTCCTGCACAGTAACACCCAGAGGTTTGAGTCCTTCCTGCAACATGGGCTGAAGTGTTCTCTGTGGATGGAGGAGCAACAGTCTGGACAGTCTCAGCCAAACCCCCTCATGTGGACAGTGTCTCTGTTAGGATGTATGTGCATAAATAAGCTGCTGTTTACTGTAACTGCACTGATATTTAATGGGAAGGTGTGCATAGATATGTGGTTTGGGTGTGGTGTGCTGGGAGCATGTGACCTCAGCACAGACGTTTTGTTTACTTCACAGACTGAAGACGTGACTACATGTGCATCAAAGATCAATAGAAGAGACTTTTCAGGGGAGAATGGAGGTTTTTAACATCTGTTGACGCTAACTTTCTGAAATTGTCTGGTTCTTGAAAATACGAGGCGGCTGCAGCTCAGAAGGTGGAGCAGGTCATCTGCTCATCCGAGCGTTGGTGGTCTGATCCCTGGCTGCTCCAGTCTGCATGCCAAATAT